ATGCTCCCTTTGGCAACATGTATACTAAAATTGGAATGATATGGAGAAGATTATATGGCCCCTGTGCAAGGGTAACATGCAAATTCATGAACTGTTCCATTGTTTTGTTTTTAAAGCTAGAAGTAGAGCTGTGGCTCAGGTGGTAAAGTGCTAGCCTGAGCACAAAAGCTCGGGACAGCACCCAAGCCCTGACTTCAAGCTCTAGAATGGGAACCAAAACAACAAAACAAAAAGAACAAAAAACAAATACAGGGTCTGGTCAACTTGCAAGAGAAAAGGCTGGATAGGATGTGCATGCTGTGTGTGTGTGTGTGTGTGTGTGTGTGTGTGTGTGTAACTCAAATTTCCAATTGTCATGCAGTCCATAGGAACTTGAAATCCAGGATTCAAAACAAAACAACAACAACAACAACAACAAAAACCATTTTGAGTAGGTCTTACAAAAAGGAGAGTCTCCCAAGGTAAAAGTTTAGCAAGCAAAGATCTATTTTAGTTAAAATAAATAGGCAGTGTCTTCCTGCCCTCTTAAAGGAAATAGCCCAAAACAGTTTTCTCCCTAGAAATAGAGAAGGGAGAGAGAAACAATTCCCAATTTCCATGAATGAAACTGGAGTAAAAAAGATTTAATATAGTGATACTAAGCCTAGGTTTTTATACTTTCTGAGCTGAGGATGAAACTTTGGGCCTTGGCACTTGCTAGGTAAGTGCTTTACCACTTAAGTTATGCCCCCCCTCCCCCGTCATTGATATTTTAGTTCTTTGAGTATGACTCTTTAAAAAAATCAGTCCTGGGGTTTGAACTCAGGGCCTGGAGGCTGTCTCTGAGCTCTTGGCTGACTTTGAACCATGATCCTCAGATCACCGCTTCCTAGAGTATGGCCCTTTAATGTTCATTATTTATAATATCTCTATACCTCAGCTGTCCCCCCTCCAAATTACATCCAGGGGTAGAGAAGAAGCACCTCAGTTGAACTGTTTATACACATCTTGTATGTCCTGTAATGATAAATGTCTAAATGAACATATTGCAATCAGACTCTGTGGGATGCTTAAGGTACTTCCGTGTTAGGGAGTATTATGCAGCCAATATGATATTCCTCCGAAGGTTTTAATGTCCTGGGGAAATAAATAAAATCCATTTTAAACATCTATTCAATTAAAAATTTGTCAGTACTATAGCCTCATGCTCTTCCTTAGCTTAGCTTTTTTACTCCAGGGTAGTACTCTACCACTTGAACCACAGCTCCACTAGGCTTTTTGCTGGTTAACTGAAGACAAGAGTCTCATGGACTTTTCTTTTGCCCAGGCTGGCTTTGAACTGGGATTCTCAGGTCTCAGCCTCCTGAGTAGCTAGGATGACAGGTGTAAAACATCAGTGCCCAACTTAATGTCTATTCAATTTTGGCTCCAAATTTGGAAGAAGACAGAAAGAGGGTGGAAGATTTTGTACTTTGAAAAATAAGCAGGTTGTCATGTTAGAATCATGAACAGAATATCTGAACAACACATCCTTGGATGGGCTTTCTTCTTAGAACTTTTTCATTAGCTTCCTAGCAAGGACGAGATTAAGAAGTTGTCACCATGGGCTCTTTGGAAGAACTGAAGCACCAGATGACATGGGATGTGCTTGAGGCGGTCCCCATATAGCTCTGAGAACTAGAGTTGAGGGAGACAGAGTAAGGACTGGACAAGGGGCGTATAACAGTTGTATGCTGTGACCCAGAACCTTTCAGGGGTGCTGTGAGGTGTGTTTTGTATTTCCCATGGAGGGTCCAAATAGCTTGTGGCTTCCCTATAGAGGAGCATTTTTTTTTTTCCTTTCAACCAGTATTGAACTCAAGCCTGGGCTCTGTCCCTCAGCTTTTTCACTCAAGGCTGTTACTCTACCACTTGAGCCACAACTCCACTTCTAGCCCTTTGCTGGCTCACTGGAGATAAGAATCCCATTGGTAGAATTTCCTGCCTGAGCTGGCTTGGAACCATGATCCTCAGATCTCAGCCTCCTGATTAGCTAGGATTAAAGGTGTGAGCCACCAGCTTCTGGCTATAGAGGAGCTTCTTATAGAAGAGAACAGGTGACCAACATTGCATTAGAGTAGGTGGTTCAAGTGGAGAAAGACCAGAAAGCAGGATAATCATTGGAGCTGTCTCTCTAGCTCAGGTCTTGCAGACTCAGAACCAAGGCTGGCTGGAGAGGAGCTGTTTCCACCTAGAGAGGGGATAGCCATCCATGCTGGACTTTGCACAGGCTTATCAAACATTAACTTATAAAGATCAACCTGTCTTTAGAAAGAGGAATCTTTCAAATTTTAAACCACTTGCTTTTGGCCTCATCTCAAGCTGTGTGTAGTTTCCCTTAACAATAACAATACACTGCCTGTTTTCTCTGTGAAGATTTGTGGCTCCTCGCATGAACTGTTTATTTGGAATCTATAACCACATGCTTGGACTAAACTGAAAGGAAATGGCCTGGAATGACACTATAGGGACTGTGATCTGGAGAGATGTCATGTTTTAGCTTAGAGAAAGAACTGAGCTTTCCGCTTGTGGCTTGGTGTGAGGTTTTCTATGCCCAGTTAAGATGAACGCCTGTGATTCCCTTCTGCCGACTTGGAACCCCCAAGGAGCCCTTCCACATGTTCTAATTCTGAGAGTTTTCTTCTCCATTTCCCTTCTTCCTCCTCTTCCCTCTCTCCTTCCCCACCTTGTCCCCTCCCATTCTTCTCCCTTTCCCCTTTCCCCTCTGCTTCTCTCGTGTGTGTGTGTGTGTGTGTGTGTGTGTGTGTGTGTGTGTGTGTGTGTGTGTGTGTGTGTGTGTGTGTGCTGAGCTCAGGGCTATGCTGTGTGCCTTAGCTTTTTCACTCAAGGCTGGTGCTCTACCGCTTAAGCCATAGCTCTACTTTCAGCTTTTTGGTGGTCAATTGGAGATAAGAGTTTCAGGAACTCTCCTTCCCAGGCTGGCTTTAAACCTTTATCCTCAGATCTCAGCCAGTTCCAAGCAGCTAAAATTACAGGCCGGAGCCACCTGCACTTAGCTTTACTTTCTTTTTAATGGGAGTGGGGGAAGAAGGGAGACAAGGTCTTACTATATTTAGCTCAGGCTGGTCTTGAACTCTGGATCCTCCAATTCAGTCTCCCAAATGCTGGGATTTCAAGTGTTCCGCCGTGCCTCATTGCCAACCCCCTTTGTCTACTATGAACAAAAGACAGAGAGGAGGAACTGCTTTGTGTGACCTGCTTCAGGTCACTATGACTCCACTTTGCTGCCTGTGGTTTTTAGGTCTAAGAATTCTTTCCAATTTTGGAAGGTAAATGAAAATCCGGCCTGTGTCTTGAGTGTATTATTTATTTGTATAGCAGAAAGGCCTCACACCCAGTTTCCTGAACCATTGCCAGCCAGCTTGACTCACCTCTCCCAAAGATGCTCAATTACTCCATCAAGACAGGCACACAGGGCATACAGTGTAGGCACAAAAGAACTGTGCTGCTGCTTCTTTTATACTTATCCCTGGATCAGAGTTCCAAACCTTTAATTTTTCCACTACATAAATGAGATCCCCTCTAAAGATACACAACCTCTCTTTAATAGGCCTTTTATACCTTTCTTTTGAAAGAAAAGTAGTTTAAACCTAACATCAAACATGCTATTTCCTAAAGCTGGGTTTCCAGCGCGCTATGGCATCACTGCCCAATCTTAGAAGTGGCAAGATTAGCTCATTTGACATTGCCCAAAAAGAAATATACTCTTTGCCTGATTTATATAACTGTAACAACTCTGTACATCTCCATTATAAGAACAATTTTTAAAGTCTAAATAAAAGATTAGCTCATTTAGGTAAGAACCAAAAAGCAGGGTGTCAGTCCTACTTTGATTTGATTTGCCTTTTGCCTAGACAAATACTGGGCACCAATGCAATCAATTTTAAATGAGTAACAGGACATACCTCTCCCAAGGCTTTGAAGTGTGTGGTTGAAAGACACACTAATCCAGTTAGTAAACTGAACTCGCTTTATTTCTTATGATATTCTAGAGCACTATGCTGTCAGGTTTATTTCCCAAGGATGTGATTCATTCATTCCCAGTAGTGGAGGGGAGGCTGTGTTTCCTGACTGTTTGTAGCCAAAGCCACAAATCTGTGCCTTGCTGGACTGGAGGGGTCTAGTAATAGTGAAGCAGAGGAGATCTACTCTGGCCTTGGGAATCTGATATATGGGCTGTCTCCCGCCTCTCCCCTCAACTCCTGCTTCCAAACCCAGGGCCTTGCAGGCCATCTCTCCACCACTGAACTACATCTCCATCTGACTATCTCCCTTCTTATTAAAGGTATTCTACTTTTGTCTCCTTTACCAAGATACCTTCCCTCACTCCTGACTCTTGCTTTAACATGGTTATTTATATTATTTTGCTTAAAAAAGTTCCAGCCTGCAGGTAAACGCTATACCACTTAGCCTCCTCCTCTTCCTCCTCCTCAAGCTAGGGCTTAAACTCAGGGTTTCATGCTTTTGCTTGGATATTTTGCTCAAGGCTGGCACCCTACCACTTGATCCGTACCTTTACTTCAGGCCTTTTACCTGTTAATCAAAGATAAGAATATCATGGACTTTTCTTCATGGGCTGAGAAACCAGCAAGAGAGATGAAGGTGTTTTGAAGATGTCATAGCCTATACTATTCAAGATGATACAAAAGGGAAATTCAAACCAGGTTCCTCTGATTTTCTGTGTCTTCTTAGGGCAGAGGAATTAGAGAACTCTCTATCTTGTATGCTGCATAGCCCTGGGTACCCGTGCCCCACATACTCTTCCATACAAAGAAAACTAAGGCTGCAGTTGTAGTTACAGAGAAGTATCTTGATTTAGTGCCTTGATTCAGCCCCCACTTGTCTGCTCCACTGGGTGGCTTTGATCTGGGCCTGCATCACTTATTTTATTAGTCTGTTTCCCATCATTCACAGTTAGACACTATAATAAAAGAATGTTCCAATGTTTCTAGGTCATCTGCCAACCATCTGTAAAATTGCCCTTATTGGGAATTCAGGTTTCAAAGAATGTTATCTGTGGCTTTTAGAGCCTGAAGACCATTAATAAACAATTAATTCACAAAGTAT